TGAGCCATGAAGATGCTGGGCACAGGGATCCGTGTCCCAGGTGGCTCCCCAGAAAATCCCTCCAGCTCCAACCCAGTGTCTGCTTGGGTCTGGCTGGGTGCTCAGGCTGAGACCGCTGAGAAAGAGGGTCAGCAGCAGGACAGCACAGGAGCTGGGCCAACTGTCTCCCTAGAAACGGGAGGCTGAGCTGGCCCAGGGTATGCTGGGAGTCCTGTCTGCCCCCCTGGTTTCCACCCCTGCCAGAGCCCTCCTTCTTACTTCCTAGGGCCCCGCAGGAGCCATAACCACACTCTGCCCTCTCCTCTCACCCCGCACCCTGCCAGGCCTCATCAGGAGACGTGTACTATGCATCTTCAGAGTGCCTTTTCCAACATCAGCATCTTTTCTGCAGTGGTTCCATGGGCGTCAGGCCTCTCCCCTCATCTCTGACAAGATTTTCTTTTAGCTGTTGGTTCCCACCAAGACTCACACTGAAGTTTGGTTGCCAGGGTAGACGGGACACCTTTAAGAAGGATTCCTGTTTTTCTTGCAGAAGGCCTGGATAGCAGGGCCTAAGAAGCCAGGTTGCTACCTCTCTCTGATGGAGAGACCCATGACACTCATGTCTGTTAGGATCTCACAGAGAGGGAGGGTATCCTGTGGTGATTTCTCCTTCCTCCTGGTGCTCAAGACCCCTCTCACCCCGTGAGTTGCCGACCCAGGCTTCCATCACCTTTGCCCTTAGAAAAGGAGCCCTACTCTCACTAGCAGGAGCCCAAAGACCTCTGTCCACAGAGCCTGACAGCCTGGACCCAGAGCCCACAGTCATCCCTCTTTAGGCTCATTATCTCATGGGACCCACTTGGGGGTCCCTCTGACCAGCAGGGATCATCCCACCCATTTTAAAGATGGGAAAGTGGAGGTTCAGCGAGATGAAGGAAATCACTTGGTGACCCAGTCTTCCCAGGGTAGTTCTGATCCCTGGACCTCCAAGCTGGTTAACCCTCCCTATTCTCTCCCACTACCAGAGAAAATGACAGGACCAAGCCAACCCAGGTGGGTGGTATCTTTCTTTGGTGGGACAGCAAGAGAGCTGTTGCTGCGGAGAGCAGACCTTTGGACCTGGGACACCATCTCCTCCACCTGCTCCAGGCCTGGAAAGCACCTTGGAAACCAGTGGCTGCTCTTACCAGCACCTCCAGGTCTGAGCAGGCTGGGGCTGGTTGTCATGGAGAGCCTGGGGTTAAAGTCATGTACCACCACCACCCAGCAAGCTTTTCTTTTCATAATCTCTTAAACCCTTGATGCCAAGCATCCCCTCAGGGTCCAGGATAGCCTAAGACTTCCACTTTCTTTCTTTCTTTCTTTTTTTTTTTTTTTTTTTTTTTTTTTTTTTTGTTTTTCGAGACAGGGTTTCTCTGTGTAGCTTTGCACCTTTCCTGGAACTCGCTTTGGAGACCAGGATGGCCTTGAAATCACAGAGATCCTCCTGCCTCTGCCTCCCCAGTGCTGGGATTAAAGGCGTGCGCCAATACCTCCTGGTGACTTCCACTTTCTTAGGTCAGGGGTCTGGGAGTTTCAGATCCTGCAGAAACCTTCCAGGGATGAGGTCTTTTCTCCTGGGAGTCTGGGTGCCTTGACTAGGTCCCACCTGTCCCAGACTTGGGCATCACCTGATATTAGACTCAAAGGAGATGCCCCTCTGCCCTGCAACAGAGCACCCAGTGTGACCACAGGCTCACCAGCCTTGTTTCTTCCTCCTGGGCCCACGGGAAGACTACATTTCTCAGCCTAAACTTCCAAGGTAGTGAAGTGCCCATGGTTGGTCCCCACCAAAATTCATATTGAAATTTGGTTGCCAAGGTAGTTGTGTTGGGAAGCAAAACCTCTAAGGGGGATTAATATTTTTCTGGCAAGACTGGATTAGTTCCTGCAAGGATGGATTAGTGCTCACAAAAGCTGGTTGTTATAAATTGGGTCAACTCTTTTGTGCCCCCCTCTTTCCCAGGCACCCACTTACCTCTCTCACTGTGATGCCATCCACCAGGTCATGACAGCTTTGCCAGTTTCGATCACCAAATCTTGAACTTCTCAGTCTCCAGCACTGTGTGATAAGTAAGCCTACTTTTTAAGAAACTGCCTAGTCTCGGATATTCTGCTATAGAGTCATGAAATGGACTAGCACACCATGCAACTGGGCTCTTATGAAGGTGTGTGGGTGCAAGTGATATTGGATATTCCCTGGTCCAACCTTCTCCATTGCCTCTAGAGTGACCCTTCTTGCCCTTTTCTCTGCCTCCCATCATGATGGTTAGTTGAAGATCTTATAAAATGGAAGGAACTTGCATTGAACATCTTGGGAAGCTGAGGTAGGAGCCTCAGAAGTTCAAGGGCATTCTCAGCTATAGTGCTAGTTCAATGCCAGCTTGGGCTACAAAAGACCCTGAGCCTGTCCCTTGCCCTCCAGGAAAGAAAGGAAATTGGAATGAGTCGATGTGCTCAGGAGACTCATTGACCTGCACTATATTTGTGCGAGCAAGAAACAAACCTTTATAGTCACTGCACTGGGGTTTCAGAGTTGGTTACCGTAGCATAATTCTAGCCACTGACTAATAAACTATTCTTCCTTTTTCCTCTAAGCCTTGCAGTTAGTAATGAAATTACATTGTTCCAAAGTGGTTGCAGCAACCAACACTGAATTAGGAAGGAGTATGTAAGAGTGTTTGGAGGCGGCTGGAGAGATGGCTCAGAGGTGAAGAGCACTGGTTGCTCTTCCAGAGGTCCTGAGTTCAATTCCCAGCAACTACATGGTGACTCACAACCACCTATAATGAGATCTGGTGCCCTCTTCTGGCATGCAGCCAGAACACTGTATACATAGCAAATAAATCTTAAAGTCTGGAGCTGGAGAAACGGCTCATCAGTTGAGAGCACTTGCTGCTCTTTGAGAGGACCCAAGTTTAGTTCCTAGCACCCATGTTGGGTGGCTCATATCCCTATAACTCCAGCTCCCAGGGAATCTGACACCTTCTAGCCTCCGTGGGCATTGAAGAAGCACAGCATACACTCAGACACATTTAAAAGAAGGAGGAGGAGGATGGAGATGTTGGCTAGATGTAATGGTGTACACCTGTGATCCCCACCGGAGTGAGGAGGAGGATAATTTTGAGGCAAGTGTGAACTAGGTAGTCAGATCCTGCCTTAAAAAGAAAAAAGAAAAAGAAAAAAAGAGCACGTGCTCATTAACATATCAACCGTACTTATCATCATCAGGCTCCTTTTTTGTAGAAAATCTCTGGCTCTGTTTTTTTTTTTTTTTTTTTTTTTTGAGACAGGGTTTGTCTGAGTATCCCTAGCTGCCCTGGAACTTGAAATGTACACCAGGTGGCCTCAAACTCACAGAGATCTTCCCATCTCTGGGATTAAAAGCATGCACCACCACGCCTAGCTCTCTCTGGCTCTTAACTTGTATTTTCCTGATTTTTTTATTAGCCGTAAACTACTTTTCTTTAGGTTTATCTTCCATTTTTATTTCATCTGTTGTGAAATGATTGTTCATCTCTTTTTGTTCTTTTTAAATTGAGTTGCGTCTTCTCGGTGATTTGTGAGAGGTCTCCACATGTTCTGGGTGGTAACGCTTTGTTTATTACTCATGCTGTGAAAAATTCTCCCAGTGTGTGGCTAGTGTTTTCAGTCATGGGGTAAAAGCTAAGCTGGAGGAAGCAGAGTGCAGACGTGGTGAGGGACACCTTGGCAGGAGCAACAGCAAGGCATCACTAATGGGTCACTTCAATGAAACGGGAGAAAGCATTGTATCCATGAAAAAAGAACAAGGTAATACCCAAAAGGAGCAGTCGGATAGCAAAGTGCTCTTGCAAGTAGATAAAAGTGGAAACTTTATTCTGTAGAGAGTTGAAATTTTCCAGAAGGGAAACCAAAAAGGGATGAATAATTATCAATAATTAGGTGAACAAAGACGAGCAGCACTAAGGGGGGTGGGGGGAGGAGGCGGCAATGCTTTAATAATGAAATGTTTCCAGAAACAATAATGTCTCTAGAAAAAATATCTCCAAATTAAAGCTGATAGATCTCCAGAATATGCGCCCAACACCATGATCAGAAGAGAATCTGTTCCTAGACACACCGAGTGAGGAAGAACAGGGCTCTTTTGATAGACTGGGAAACAGTGTCATTAGACAGGAACTGGAGACAACGGAGCAAGTCTCCAAAATTCAGAAAGAAAATGATTTTCAACTTAAAATTCTGTACCTGGCAAATTGTCAATCAGATATGAGACACTTTTAGAAATGTAAGGTCCTTAGCATTTCTCTGTAAGGACCCTGTCCTAGCCTGTTTTCTGTTGCTAACACAGCACTGAGGAAGTTTTCCTGGAAAGAGGTTTATTTGGCTTACGATTCTCATCCAAGATCGAGGGTCTGCATCTGGTGATGGCTTTCTTGCTGGCAGAATGCTTAGACAACATCATATAGCTACCAGGATTCAAGCATGGGGACCTCATCCTTGTCCCCTGTGTGAGCTGTGTGCCCTGAGACTCCATTTCCAACAGCACAGTCAGAGTCCCCCGCCACTGCCTCAGGATGGGTAATGGGACCAGCCTGAATTAGAGGATACAGAACATTTTCCTTTGGAAAACTGTGGGGAGGTGGTCCCCAAGTCAGGTAGAACTACACAGGAGAAGACATGGGAGGTAAGAAGTGAGGGATCATGCACAGGAGGGAAGTCAGGAAAGCCCCAGATGACCTTGAAGGGAGAATCCCAAGGGACATGAGAGCTCATCCCTGCCCCCCAAGACCAACCCAGGAAGGAACAGATAGCGTCCAGCAGGGACTTCATGCAAGGAGAGTAAGCTTCTAGGATACTTACTGCATGTGATTGAATTAAGGAGATTTATACAAATGAGGGATACTGGAGAGAAGTAAGGGATAAACAAAGAAAACTGAGCAAGAAATGAAATGCCAAGGCAAAAATATCAATTATTAATTCCAAGTTAAACACAAAGCTGTGTGAGAAAAATATTAATCATGGTGCACTGTGACTGTTATTTATTTTTTTATGATCGTATAAAAAGCTTTGCAAAATGAAACAATAAAAGGGTCGGCAAACAAAAGAAAAAGTAGATAAATTATTACAGCAAAAATTCTAAAATAACGCTTAGCAAAGGACTGTCAGCAGAGGGAAAAGGCCATCTACAGGATGGGGAAAACACTCGCAACTCTCCAACTGATGAGGGGCTAATATATGAGCTACAGGAATTGGGCTGGAGAGATGCTCAGTGGGTAAGAACATGTACTTACTACACGAGCAGAGAACCTGAGTTTAAATTCTGGTTCTTGTCTCGGGCAACTCAGAACCTGCCTGTAACTCTAGTTCCCGTGGGTACAATGCCCTCCTGTGGATTCCAAGGGAACCTGCACTCACATGCACATATACCTACACAGACACAGACAGACAGACACCACACACACACACACACACACACACACACACACACACACACACACACACACACACAAACACACACACACACACACAAATAATAAAATCTTTAAGGAAAAAAGAAGAAATTCAGGAATTCCTACAACTGAATAGTAGCAACCATTAAAAGCACCCCATCTTGATTTAAAATTGAGCAAAAGACTTGAATAGACATTTATCCAAACAAGATAAACAAATGGGCAATAAGCACATGAAAATATGCTCATTATCGCTGATCATTAGCAATGCGAATTCAAACCACAATTAAAAGGATAACCTCACACTCATTAGGACAGCTATTATATTTTCAAAACTCAACAAAACAAATAACAAAAATCCATAAACTGGTAACTTTTGGCTGAGATGGGGAAAACTAGAAAACCTTGTACACTGTGGATGGGAACGTGAAATGGAAGTGTTGCTGTGGAAATAGCACCGTGGCTCCTCAAAAATTAAAACTACACTCACAACAAGGCTCAGCAAGTCCGTGTCTGGACGTATCCCAAATAACTGCAAGCGTGTGAACCCATGTGTTCACTCCAGCGTCACTCACGACGGACACAATAGAACCAGTGGAGGTCACATGGCTAGATGAGTGTGGAATATATGGAATGTTATGTATCCTTATAATGGAAGGAATCCTGGAACACGCTGCGACACGGATGAACCCTGAGGACATGAGATAAGTGACACAGCCAGGCCCCAAAGGAAAAATAATGCATGCTTCCACTTCCTTGAATAGTTGAATTGACTGAAACAGGAAGTGGAGTGATGATTGGCAGGAGTTGGGGTGGGAATGGGAGCTACTGTTTGATGGGTGTGGATGGTGGTGATGGTTTCACAACCATGTGAACACAATGCTCTTGGTCTAGTTTCACTTGTGTTGCTATGATAAAACACTCTAACCAACGGTTCACCACCTATAGGTCGTGACCCCTTTGAGGGTCGACTGACCCTTTCACAGGAGTCTCCTGAGACCATTGGAAAACACAGGTGTTTACATTATGATTCATAAGAGCAGCAAAATTACAGTTATAAAATAGCAATGAAAATAATTTTGTGGTTGGGGGTCACCCCAACACGAGGAATTGTATTAAAGGGTCGTAGCATTAGGAAGGTTGAGAACCACTGCTCTAACTGCTCAAAGTGACTCAGAGGAGAGAAGGGAGCTTGAAATTCCACATTACAGTCGCCATTGTGGGAAGTCAAGGCAGGAACTCGAAGCCTCAATCCACAGTCAAGAGCAGAGAGAAATGGATGCATCCAGGCTGCCTGTTTCCTTGCCAGTGAGATGACCTGGGTAAGCATGCCTGCTGCCAACCTGACCACCTGAGCTTGATTCCCAGGACCCACACAGTGGAAGGAGAGAACCAGCTCCCACAAGCTGTCCTCTGACTTCTACATGCATGCCTTGGCACACATGTGCATGCACACACACACACACTAAAAAAGTAATTAAAATAAATATAACAGAAAGAGTTGTGTTATTTAATGATGTAGATACCTACCAAATGATTCAGCCCCAAGTTAATAGCAGCTGCCTATGGGAAAAGGAAGTGGGAACCCAGTGATTTAAGTTTTTCATCAACTGCATGCAAATGCAACTTGGATTAAGGGCTGAAGAGATAGCTCAGAGGTTTTGAGCTCTGGCTGCTCTTTCAGAGAACTCATGTTAAGTGGCTTACAATCATCTGTAACTGTTACAACTCCAGTTCCAGGGGATCCAATGCCCTCTTCTGGCCTCTGCAAGCACCAAGCATGCACGTGGTACACAGACACACATGCAGGAGAAACATTTGCACACATTACAATAGACTAAATTTTAAAAGTTGTGTAAAAGATAATTAAGCAAACAGTAATCTGAATCAAAAGCAAACACAAGCAGCTGCTGACTGTCCCTTCTGAAGGCCCATAGGTCATGGGTGCCGAGGACCTGGGCCACTTCCAAGACACCTTGAAGAGCACCCTCTATTATGAGCAGAGTGGTCAGGGCTCTGGTGCTGCACCCTTTCTCCCAGAACAAATGGGGTGCCTCAAAGTAACCCTTAGCGAAACATGCCCTGGACAGAGGCTCTGTCATCCACTGTCAGAGCCTCACATTCATTTTAATGTGTTTTGGAAATGCAATCCACATATCAAACCTGTAATTTCACGGAGATTATTGCTTAGGATGAAGCGAAGTTTATTAAGTGAGAGGATTTCAGGAAAATACAGTGGGCGCTTCATATGCATGAGTTTCAATCCTCAGATTCAATCAACCATGGACAGCAAAATACTATATAAAAACAGGTATCTACTGAACACATACGGATATTCTCCTTGTTGTTGTTGTTCCTAAACAATACAGCAGAACATCTACAGAGCATTCACATTGGGTTAGGTAGTCTAAACATGCTGCAGGTGATTTAGCCGAGTGTTCAAGAAGATGTACTTAGGTTAGATGTGAATATGGAGTCATTTTATATATTTGTCTTTTCTTGTTTTGAAACAGGGTCTCTGTGTGTACTCCAGGCTGGCCTAGAACTCACTATTTCCTTGTGCCACTTGCCAAGTGTCGGGGTGTGCCACTTTGCCTGGCTATCCATTGGTTTTTGTATCCCTGGGAAGAGTGTCCCTGGACCAACCCTCCCTAGATCCTGGGAGAAGACTCAGGAGGAGGGTAGTTGAGGAGACTCCTGGAAATGGGAAACCTCATTTAATGGGGAAGGGTATGACAGAAGACACAGGAAATACTGACCTAATCCAACCCCAGGGGTTAGGGGCAGGGACTGAAAACCTGGAGAAAGAGAGTTTGGCAGAGGCAATGGGGGAGGAGTGGTGTCCCCAGCTGTCTCCTGACAGCACTTGGTTGAGGAGCAAGAGATGGAGCCCGAGTTTGTCCTCTTCTGTGACTCTTGTCCTGTGTCCCTCTCAGGGGCCGAGTGTCTTTCTTTCTACAAAAGGTCCTGCAGTCAAAGGCAATTGTGTCAGTGGCGGTTGTCCAGAGTCCTTCTGGGCTGCTTTCTCTCTAGGAGACAGGAACAGTGACCGCAGCAGTAATGAGAACAATTACTCACACACTGTGTGAATGTGCTGAAGCCCTCTAAAGAACTTCAGCTACGTTAACCTGAGCTCACACACCCTAGGAGCCAGCCTGCAAGACATTCCCGGGATCTTTGCCTCCTGGTGGTCAAATGCCAACATTCCCTCCCATATGAATAGGCTCACCCAGGACACTGCAGCAATGATGGTGTGACATGAATACTTAGGTCAGGAAGACACTGTGTATATGCACCACATTTTCGCTCTCCGCTGATCTGTGTAGGCATCTCTGCCACAGGCATAGTCCTTTAGGTGTGTGCACGAGCATGATAAAGCTAGGCCGGGATAGATCTATTTTTCATTCTTTGAGAAACCTGCACACTGATTTTCACTCTCGCCAGCAGTGAATAAGGGCTCCTGTGTTCCCACATCCTCATCAGATTCATTGTCATTGGCTTTCTTGATGATAGCAACTCTGACGAGGGAGAGAATCTCAAAGTAGTTTCAGTTTACATTTCCCTGGTGGCTAAAAATGTTGAATGTGTCTTAAAATATTAATTGAATATTTATACTTCCTCCTTTGAAAACTATCCGTTCAGTTCAGTGGCCCACTTTTGACTGACAGTTTGAAAATATGACAGATATACACATGGAATCTTATTCAGCTGCATAGAAAAGTGAAATTATGGGGCTGGGCAAATAGTTCCGTTGATAAAGTGCTTGCCTTGCAAACACAAGGCCCGAGTTTGATCCCCAGAACTCATATATAAACAGCCAGGTATGTGGTGTGTGCTTGTAATCCCATATGCTTGAATCAGCTGAAATGGGTGGTCCCTGGGGCTCGCTGGCCAGCCAACCTTAATTAGCAAGTTCCTAGCCAGGAAAAAAAACCTATGTCAATGCGGATGGCCTCTGAAGAATGTCTGTGGGAGGAGGCACCTGTACACATGTGCATAGAAACACACAGCTATGCACACAAGAAAATTGAAATTATGATATTTGCAGGAAAAAGAATGAGACTGAGTATAACTCGAATTTAAATGGTCTTTTTTTTTTTTTTTTTTTTTTTTTTTTTTTTTTGGTTTTTCGAGACAGGGTTTCTCTGTGTAGCTTTGCGCCTTTCCTGGGACTCACTTGGTAGCCCAGGCTGGCCTCGAACTCACAGAGATCCGCCTGGCTCTGCCTCCCGAGTGCTGGGATTAAAGGCGTGCGCCACCACCGCCCAGCTGGTCTTTTAATAATAAAAAAAATCCAGCCAGATATTGGGGTGGAAGCTGAAAGATCAGAGAAGCAGAGCAAGTCACCGCCACCACCTCTTACCTCACCAACTCCTCAGCCTGGAAGAGCTCTAAGCCGGGCGGTGGTGGGGCACACCTTTAATCCCAGCACTTGGGAGACAGAGCCAGGCGGATCTCTGTGAGTTCGAGGCCAGCCTGGGCTACAGAGCGAGATCCAGGAAAGATGCAAAGCTACACAGAGAGACCCTGTCTCGAAAAAACAAAACAAAACAAAACAAAACAAAAAAAAAAAAAAAGAGCTCTAGCCGAAAGGGCTTCAGCGCCTCTCCTGAAAGGGGTTCCTCAGCCAATAGGCCTCTAGCCTATGAGCTTCCTCAGCCGAAAAGGCTTCTAGTTCCTGTCTCCTCACGCCTTATATACCTTTCTCTGCCCAGCCATTAAAGGCATGTGTGCTTCCCAAGCAAAGGCATGAGATCTCAAGTGCTGGGATTAAAGGTGTGTACCACCACTGCCTGGCTGTTTCTCTCCTAGACTGAATCAATCTCATGTAGTCTAGGGTGGCTTTGAACTCACAGAGATCCAGATGGAGCTCTGCCTCCCGAGTGCTAGGATTAAAGTGTGTGCCACCACTGCCTGACCTCTGTGTTTAATCTAGTGGCTTGTTCTGTCCTCTGATCCTCAGGTAAAGTTTATTAGGGTACACGATACATCACCACAACTGAGAGGTATTAAGCGAGGTAACCCAGAAAGACAAACACCTCCTGTTCTCTCCTAGGTGGATCCTAGCTTCTGATTGATTTGGATATACATGTAAGTATGTGCATGTGAGTGCCAGTGAAGGTCAGGAGCCCAGAAAGGGGCCCAGGAGGGGGGAAGGGGAACTTAAGGGAGTGGGTGAAGAAATTATCAGCACACATGTGATATGAAAGTGAAAGGGGGTTGCTGGGGTTGAAATGGTACAAATGGGGGCGGGAGTACAGAGACGGGGAGACCAGCAGCAGGCGGGCAGGATCAACCAGAACTAAGCATGCGTGGAAATGCCAGCAGGAAGCCCGTTGCTCTGTGTGCCAATTAAAGAGTAAATTGAATTAAATTTAAAGAATACTGTGTTCCTTGATCTCCAGTGGATCAGCTGTCCTGGGAAGCTGGTTGACACACGATGAGGACACTCAAAGCAGTCCCAGGGAGACACGTGGGAAAAGCTGAGTCCTCTTGCTGACTAGCAGCATGGACTCAACAGCCATACAAGGAGGCCATCCTCCTGCCTCCAGCCCATAAACCTTAGAGGACCACATAGCTCCCATCTGAGCTGCTCCCCAATTTCCACCTCCAGACCCACATTATCTTTTTATTTGGTTTATTTCTATTTATTTATTTATTGAGACAGGGTCTCCCCTCATAGCCCTGGCTGTCCTCATTATCTCGAACTGTCTGGCTTCAAACTCACAGAGATCCGCCTGCCACTGTCTCCCGAGTGCTGGGATTAAAGGCGTGCTCCACCACCGCCCGGCTAGTGGTAGGTCCTTTTCGTTTTATCTTGACACGGGATCTTCCGATAGCCTAGACTAGCCTCAGACTTGTGATCCTCCTGTTTCAGCGCACACCCATATGTTCCATAAGTCAAAGGACAACTTGAGGGAGCCCTTTCTCTCCTTCTGCCATGAGCCCCAGGGATGAAAGTCAGGTGACCAGGCTTTGCGTCAAGCACCTGTACCCACTGAGTCACTTCACAGGGCCATGTTCCCTCTTTATAGATGAGAAAGTTAACACAGAGAGTTCAAGTAAGGGGCTGGACAGATGGCTTAGTGGTTAAGGGCACTTGCCGAGTACCCATGTTCAAGTCCCAGCACCCACACAACAGCTTACAACTTTGTAACTCCAGTCTAGGGCATCCTATACCCTCTTCTGGTCTCTGCCAGCAGGCATGCACATGATAAATAGACATACATGCAGACACAATACCCATAAAACGAACAAACAGAGAGTTCAAGTAACTTCCCTGAGGTCACATAGATACCAAGTGATCTAACCCACGAATTATCACGAATTAGAACATCTCTTTTACAAGACACTGGCAAGGAGGGATGGGCAACAGGCCCACAGCATGGCAAGGGAGAATGGGGCTGCACTCCTGTAAAGCGAAGGGAGGGAGCAGGGAGAGAGCTCCACACTCTGCAGCTCAGCTGGGCCCTGGTCTCCATCCTGGGTTCTCTGAGTGACACAGGCCTGAGAAGCGGGAGGTGGGGGTGGGGTGGGGGGTGGGGGGGTGGGGATAGGAGGGTGGGGACTTACATCTGTGAGCAGCCTACTCTATGGGGTGCTTGTGACATCACCGTCTTTCCAAGGCCGTCTTGATCCTTAGACCAGAGAAGCCTCAAGGGAAGGAATGGAGTCTTATCATCTACATCCCTCCCACCCCTCAGCCCAGAGCCAACCAGGACTGTGGGCTTTCTGGTCCTGGGGCAAATGTATGGGGCCACACCACCCTTTAACAGGCCACCAGTAGAGGCCAAGCAGGGATTAGGAAGCCCTTCTGAACTGAGGTCTCTGCTCACAGGAGTGGATCCAATGGGCAGTTCAGAGAGATTGACACACAGAGCCATGGGAGCTTGGGGCAGCAGAGGATTTCTGTAGGGAGATTAGAAGCATCCCTAGAGGCTATGAAAGCAGAGGCCTGGGGATGAACAGATAGCAGCCCAGGTGAATGCTCCAGGCAGAGGGTACAAGGTGGAAAAGGCCTGAAGCTGAGTTCTCAGGGGCAGAATGAGGAGCAAGGTTGTAGAGCAGGAACTGGGTCTCTGGTTACCTGCTATGGAGGCCTCCTGGACTGGTCCTGAACTCTCTCTCTACCCAGACAGGCCTTAAACCTGTGTTCCTACTGCCCCAGCCCCCCAAGTACCTCGAATTACAGACCTCTACCCACTGAGCTATATCTCCAGGCTGGGCAATTCCTATTCTTTGAGGTTTGGGGAGCAACCAGAGGTTTTTGAGGAGGGTGTTTGCATAACAGTAATACTAATGTTCATTCGGCATCTACTGTGCTGAATCTAATCGAATCTCATCTACACAGCCACATCTAATCGGAACCTCACAGCAGCCTGTGTGGCGGGTACTGCCCTCCCCGGCCCCTGGGCCCCATCTGTTACCTGCAGAACCTGAGGCGCCGAAGTTCATCTAGCCAGGGAGGGAAGGGGCAGGCTGAGACCCCGCAGTCAGACCCAAGGCTAATGCTTCTTACCTGCTGCCTCGGAACGTCACTCGATGCAAAAATCTTAGCACTAGAAGGAACTCTAAGACTCTCAGTTCCCTGTCATCTCCCCGATGAGAAACTGAGGCCCAAGTGCAACGAAGAAGGGAGGTGAGGCTGGATGGGTGAATCTGGACTGCAGGAGGGGCTCCATCCTAACTTCCAAGGGCGTCACAGAGGGTATCCTTGTGCTAGGGACAAAATCCAAACTCTACAAAAGCCATCCTGTGACTGGGCCCTGCTGACTCCCTTAAAGCCCCCCCCCCCCCCCCCCCCCCCCCCCCCCCCCCCCCCCCCCCCCCCCCCCCCCCGTCACTAGTTCCAGCTTTACCATGCTGCTTCTCCATTGCTCTTCTCTGCCAAGAACGGCGGCCTCCTGCCTGACCTTCACGTGGTCAGGCTCCTCGCTGTCAACGAAATGTCACCTCCTTTGAGCTGACCGCCTTCTCTAAATTACCTCTATGTTCTCCTATTGCTTATTTTTTTTCATAGCAATTACGATGATCTGAAATAACCCCTTTTTTTTTTGCTCCTGTATTTCTCTCTTCTGATAATACGTAAGCATCGGGGGTGGGGGTGGGGAGGGACCTTACTTGCCATTCTGCAGCCTTGAGCCTTGAACAGAGCCTGACCCACAGCACACGCTACGGAGGTGTTTCTGTTACATTTTCTTACCTTCTGTTGGTGAAGTCAACAGAAGATACCTCACTGTGGCTGGGACTTCCAGAGCCAGCCTGGGGCCTGGACATGATCAAGGGATGAAGGCAGGGGCATCATATGGTCTCCCAAGGTCTCTGTTCTTTTCTGGTGGGGTGGCCATAGCCATGGGCTACTCTTTGTGGGGGAAGACTGTAAGACTGAGACAGCCGCTGACTCTGTGCCTTCCTGGCCGAGGCATCACAGCGTCCACCCTTTTTTTTTTTCTGAAGAGAGGGGGCCGATTTAACACTGGACCTTGGCACCCTCAGTGGGCCTGGTTTACCACGAATGCCCAAGAATCTCACTCTCTGAAGGGTGGGCCAGGCTCACCAGCAGGTGGCTGAAAGCTAGTGCAAGCTTCGCCCTGTAGGAGAGGTGGGGCTGCCCTGCCTTCTTTGTGCAGAGGCTAGTGCGGCCCAAGCAGAGGAGCTAGAAGTGCGGCCTCTGGTGGCAGGGATGACACAGCCCTCCTCTGGGCCTCCACAGTCCCCTGCCTTTCTTTTCTTTGCCGTACCTGCAAAGCCCCTGATCTGCTTCTCTGTCTGGGCCAGTGCAGAAGGCTGAATGTGGAGAACAGTCTGGGCGTCAGACCCAAGACAGCTGCCTCACATCTCTGCCCAGGATCACACAGGGTATAGCAGTCACAGATGCACATGGCCGTAGAAAGCAGCTACTCGTCTGATCTGAAGCCACGACAGGTGCAGAGGTCCTGCCCCACACCCCTAGCTTCTCCCTGCCAATGCTTTCAGTCTTCCCGCGTCCACCGCACGGGCCTGTGCGTCTGGAACAACATCACCTTCCCTCGAGCCCCAGCTTTTTTCCTCCACATCCCTCCTTCTCTCATCCGCTTGCCACCTCCGCGGGGAAACCAGGGGGCCAGGGCCTAGCCTGGCTCATCCCTGTGTCGGCAGCGCCCACAACAGGAGCGCACCGAGCGCAGGGTTGCCGGGGTCTCGCCGAGAGAGGAGGAGGAGGGGACCGCGGGCTGGAGGGGGAGGAGAAGAGGCGCTGCGGGAGGAGCGTGGGGCGGAGAAGGCGGCGGGAGGGAGCGCGCGCGCCGGCGGCGGCCGCCCAGGGCCGGGGCCGCGCGCCCAGTCTGAGCCCGCCCCGCCGCCAAGCGTCACCGAACCTGCTTGAAATGCAGCCGGGGAGCCGGGGCGGGCGGCAGCGGTGGTGGTGGCGGCGGCGGCAGCGGCAGCTCCGGCGCCGCGGCAAGGACTTGGCGGGCTGAGGCGCGGCGGCGGCGGCGGCGGCGGCGCGGGGGGCGCGGGGCGCGGCGGCCGGAGCCCCGGGCCCGCCATGGGCCGCCCAGAGCGGGGCGCGCTCCGGCCGCTGGCGCTGTTGCTGCTGCTACGGCTGCTGCTGCAGCTCCAGCATCTCTCCGCAGCGGATCCGCTGCCCGGCGGCCAAGGTGCGTACGGCTCTTCCCGGCCGGCTCTGAGCCGCCAACAAAGCGCGGCCGGGGGGGAGGGGGCGCTGTGCGGCGAGGCCGGGCAGAGAGAGGAGGCTCCGGGGGCTCCAGCTCCCTGGATTTGCCCCTGGACCCCCCGCTTGCGGCTCTGGGTATCGAAGCTCTGCCCCCGCTCCTGGCATGCTCTTGGGGAATGGGCTCTGGGGCCCCCCTCCCCCGTGAACTTTGCGGGGGGGGGTAGTCGTTCAGGGTCTCGGTTAAGAGGTTTGGTTTATTTGACACGCGCGCTCCGCCGCGTTGATGAGCAAAGCCGCACAATGCATTTCCGGGGACCCCTGCGGGCCGAGTGACAGGTTGCGAGGGGACTGAGCCGGTGCACCCGGTGCCTGTGTTGCCAGTGTGCGGGTCTCCCCTCACTCAGGCTGGGTCCGCGTGGATCTGACTTGAGCTGTGTGTGAGGGTTGAGTGTGTGTGAAATGCAGAGTATATCCACGGGCCGTAAGCTTGGGTCGGGTCTCGCCGTGCCATCAGTCGGTCCTGAAGCGGGGGAACCCGTGGCATCCTGTCCTCCCTCTGGATTAAGGTGCTTGAAGCCTCGGAGCCCGCCAGTATCTCCTCCTTTCCTCCCTGTACCTGCTGGACTTACCGGCAGCCGGGGCTGCACGGTGGGGAGACGGTGATCCAGCTCACAGCCCCCTCCCCCTACAGGGCCGGTCAAGGAGTGCGAAGAGGACCAGTTTCGGTGTCGGAACGAGCGCTGCATCCCCTCGGTGTGGAGATGCGACGAGGACAACGACTGTTCAGACAACAGCGACGAGGACGACTGCCGTGAGTCGCGGCGATGCGGGGAAGGGGAGCCGTGGGGGGCGCCATGCTCCTCTGCGCACGTGGCTGCATCCGTCACGGGGCCACCTGCCCCGGCTCACGGCCTTGTTCCCTGCCGGGTGGCTCTTAGCTGTCGGCGGGCGCCGGGTAGCAGGCGTGTCCTGCTTAGGGTGGAGCCCAGCGCCGCGTGCTGGGGCGACACGGGCTACACGGGCCCGGTACAGTGGGCGGGGACGTGGCCGCGCCTCTACACCGCTAACCTCCGTGGATCGGAACCCCAGCCTGGGTCCAACTGGGCGCGCTCACTTCAAAGTTCCACGCAGTTCGGGACGCGAGGGGGATCCTTCCCCGCTCGGTTTTATGAATGAATGGACTCCCCGGGGCCCCTGATTGGCTGTGCAAGGACCACCCCATAGGCCCGTGGCCGGAGCGGCCAATCGTGGGGCCGGCGGTGTGCTGTACCGGGCTCGGCTCTAGGCCCTGCCCTGGCCGCACCCCCGGAGCTCATCCTCCGCTTGGTAGGCTCAGGTCCTGGTCACAACCCGCTGCTTTTCTGTCGAGTCACCCTTTAGACAGCAGCGTTCTCCTGCCAGCCCAGCCTGGCTGTGAGTCATGGGGCCACCACAAGGAGGGGCCCAGGAGGAAGAGTGTGTTTCCTGGAAGCCACCCGAGCAAGGGCAGGGAAGGGAGGCCCTGCGGGAGCCCCACTGCCTTTGCCGAGCCTGGCGTTTGCACACCCTGAGCCGCTGATGGACGTTCCTTCTTGCGTGGGAGGGTATTCAGGTGGCTGTGGGGCTGCAACCGAATTAGCACGCGGTCGCTGCGGTAAAGGAAAGGAGTTCCTGGTACTGAGGACCCAGACTCTTGTAGCCACATATACTTAGGAGGCTTTTCAGTTGTCACAGGAGGCCTGCTGTGTGTCTGCCAGTGTTGGGCATCCAGGATCAGGCCAGCCCCCGCCTGCCCCTCACCCCCCAGCGTAGGAGCACAGTGTCAGAGCGGGGAGGGCACCAGGAGGCACATGCCCAGCACTCAGGAAAGGTAGGCTGACCGACATTCCCACTTGGAAGCAGTCTGTTGAGCCCTTGAGGTGTTTTTTTTTATTTAACATTTTTTGGGGGGTGGGGTGCATGCAAAAAGCGTGCATGAGAAGATAAGAGTACAACTTGTGGGAGCCGAGTCTCTCCTACTTTGTGGGGCCTCAAAGTCAACATCCTTGCGTTTGACAACGAATGCCTTCACTTGCCTAACCATAGGACTGGCCCTCACTGAGTTCTTTTGGCTGTTGGCCAGTCGGCCTGACAGTTCACTCTGGACTAGCCTTGGCTCCATGACTTGGGCCTATTGAACCTGACTGCCTCAGTTTCTCATTTTGCTGCCTTGACTGTTTTGAGGACTAGTGCTGGCGATGTCACTGAGATCAGTGAGACCCTCAAGCGCTGGGGTTAACTGCAGCCTGCGGGAGTGCTAACCCTCTTCACAGTGGTTTATGTTACTGAAGAACCCCGGCTCCTGGGCTTGAGTTACTTGCTCCAAGTGGCTCCTGAGCTGCCAAGTAGAAGCCTGAGCTTAAGCATCTTCTACCAGAGTTCTTATCCTAAAAAATATGAGAGGGATTCTCATGCCTGGGAGTTGTTCTGGTTTTCTTAGAGCTGCGCTCAGAGGATAGGGTACAGAAATGGAAACCTTGTATCTTGTCCCCTTCGCTCTTTAAATCATTAGTCTTGTGAGTGCGGTTGTGAAGCTTTCCTTGTCTCTCGTTTTATAGAGATACTGCCTCAGAGAGATGGAGTGATTTGCCCAAGGTCACACAGCACAGGGTGGCAGGATTTATCAAGATCTCTGCCTGCCCTGCCTGTTGGTTTAGGGCATGGATTATTGTAGTGGAGAGTGTGATGTGGATACTTGGGCCTGTTACTTTGCGTAAGGATATGGGCATGATGAGCAGGGGTGGCTGGTAATCTGAGACAGGACTAAGAGAGCTCTGACGCAGTCTGGAAGCTGCTTTGGTTTGAGATGGGTGAGGTGGACTCCTAGGCAGTCGGTGGGCAGAAGTCCATGACGCCAGCGGTGTGGAGTGGAGAGTGTAGTGGCTTCTGGCAGCAGCAGAAATTGGTTGCACACTGCTTGACTTTCCTGAGCTTGCTTCCTCAGGCGCCCAGCAGGAAACCTGTCTCTCTGTCCTACCTTAGAACACGGGGAGTCTTCTCACGGGGCTGGCAACAAGGGGAGGGGAAGGTACTTAGAACTTCTTCCCCACAGACCTGGAGGAATCGGTCAGCAGTTAAGATACTTAATGCTCTTGCAGAGGACCGGAGTTCATTCCTACCATCTCCACCTATGTCCAGCGTCTCACAACTCCTGTAACTGCAGCTCCAGGACACACACACACACACACACACACACACACACACACACACACACACACTGAGGATACCCCATTCCAGGCCACCTGCTCAGACTCACTCCACCCTCGATACCTCCCTCTCTGCCACATCCATAAGAACCCTGGTTGCTCAACCTCTGTACCCTTCTGGGCTGCAAAATAGGGTAAGGGCAGTGGTTGTAATTTGAAAACGAGGCCAATGTGGGCACAATGAATCCACACTTCTGGTGTAGCCCATAGTACCGGAGGCTGAAGAGAAGGAGGGAGCTGAGACAAGCTTCCTCTAGGAGGCTACTGCTGAGCTCAGGCCTAGAAGAGTCCCTCAAGACTTGTCATCATAAAATAAGTGGCACAGGGCCGGTCCTGGTGGTTCGTGCCTTTAGTCCCAGCACTCTGGAGGCAGAGGCAGGTGGATTTTTATGAGTCGAGCCAGCCTGGTCTCCATAGCGAGACCCGGTCTCAACAAACAAACAAACCCACATAAAAGGCGGCACACACCCCATGCAGTAGAGGTCCCCTATGTGCAGAGAGGTCATGCAGCTTCTCCTTGACTCTGGAACTCACACTGAGGTCTTCTAAGTCTCCATCCTTATCTGCAGGGAAGGCTCTTGGCCCCCAGCTGGTGGGCTAGGGAAGGGAAGCTGACTGGGGCCTCAGTTCCCAGAGTGCCTTCAAAGCAGAGGAAAGGTCTGCCGCCCTAGGGCTCCAGCCAGGGGAAGTTGGGTGGGACTCCTGACTGTGAACTCACGGAGGCCTAGGTTTCCTGTTGCTTCCTGGTGGTGTCTGGGAGCAGAGGTGGGGATTCTGGTCTCTGGCCAGGCCTTTGCTCCCAGACCATCAAACACAGCAGCTATTGACACTTGCCAAGCATTTGCCGCCGAGGCCATGGGCATCGCCTGGTGCTCCTCCAGTCTGTGAGATGGTTGACCCTGTGACGCTTGAGTCATTTCTACCTCGTAGAAGCTCTGAGGGGTCAGGAACAGTTCTGTGTAAGTGAAGTTGCTTCGCTGTGCATTTAGGCATGTGACCATGGAACCTGCACAGGTCCCCCCAGGCTTCCATTTCCCTTCCTGAGCTGATGTGTGAGGATCCTTTCCTCTGACTGCCCCAGCTCCTGGGCTGCTGGGCTGCTTTGTGGGAGACTGGGTCAGGGACCCCTCTTTCTGTACTCACCCGCCTTGCCCTTGTCTCAGCTAGCTGCCATCATCCATCCACCCTCGTCAGTGAAGAGCAGGCACAGCCCAGCCTCCCTGGCTTCACCCCGCCAATTGGTCCGGGCCAGGCTACGGGAATCCCAGAGCTTGCTTGGTGGTGGTCTTATGAATGATAATAGCTTGGCTGTAATGTAGCCCCTGTGTGCAGGCCACACTCCATTCCCCCTTTGGATGGATGACATCGTGGACAGAGAGCCGGTCTCTGAACCTTGGTTTCCTCGGCTGACCAAGCTGCTCTCCCCCGCAGCACCCTGAGGATGAAGCGAGCACAGGAGCCTCTTTGTCGACCTTCCCTGTCAGGCCCCGTGCCCATTGCCCTCCAGCCTCTTCCTGCCTCTTCCTCCGAGCCTGGCCGCCATAGCGTCTCCGGTCTCCTTCCTTCTGCTTCTCACCTCCAGGCCTTTAGTGTGCTGCTTACCTTCCCAGGACACCGTTCCCTCACACGCTCCGTTTTGTTATCTTAGACGATTCAGGGAAAGGGTCACCTCCTTGAAGAAGTCTTCTCTGCTAGCCACTCAGGCTGAGATAAGATGACTTTGGGAACAAGGCTGAAATCTCAACTCTGCTAGCCCCAGATTATAAAGCCCTAGGCCTAGCTGTCCCCTCCTGGTCGAATGGCCCTGGTGACGCTAGTTCCTCCTTCCCAGAGAGGTGGGGTTAAGTGAGATAGTGTGTTTGGTGAGCAGGAGGCAGTTGACAGTGGCAGTGGCTAGCGTGGTGGGAGAAACTAGGCTGAGCGCCTTTCTCCAGGACCCAAGTTTCTGAAGGCTACAGCAGGGGGTGTGGCTTCCAGCGGGGTGTGGCTTCCAGCGGGGGTGTGGCTTCCAGCAGGGGGTGTGGCTTCAGGCCGTGGATGGTCCAGCCACAGTGGAGGTGGCTCCCAGATGACCTCGAGGTGACAGAAAGTATTTAGAGAAGCGCTAGGGAAGAAATGATTCTAACAGCCCTGACTGGTCTCTGAGAGTAATCTGGGGCCGGAAGGGCAGGTCCTGGGTGGCCAGCCTCCTGTTTCTTTCTCCTGGCTGTGTCTGCTACCATTGTTGGCACGGCCTTGCGGTCGGCCCAGGTCTGTGCCACTGGCCTGTCCCAACAGGCCTTGGGAGTGCTGCTGAAGGCTCTCCCTTGGGCCATGATGGGCCCTCCTGGGTTAGAGTCCCCTCAGTTTCTGAGGCTGAATCTGGCCCATGGCTGGTGGCTTTCCCCCTCAGTGCCTGCAGGCCGCCGACCTGACAGCTTTCCTCCTTGGGGAATTAGGTAGCAGGTGAAGCCACGGGACCCCAGGGACAGAGGAAGAGAGACTCGGAGTGGAACAAGCACCCTTCAGGGTGTAGTCCGGTGCACTCTCCTGGCCCAAGGTGAATGGTCCTGTCCCCAAGGCCCTCGGTGTTCTAGAAAGTCAGGCT